AGCCCCCATATATAAAGTCCCAGCTCACAACCCGTGGGCTGACATCTTTCCCTTCCCTGCCCTTCCCTGACATCTTTCCCTTCCCTTCCCTTCCCTGACATCTTTCCCTTCCCCAAGGGAAAGGTGCCCCATGCGAAATAAATCTGTATCCCACTGAGAATTCCATCTGTGCCTCGGTGCCTCCTCTATCCTCCGCCAGCTGTCTCCAACATTTTTACCTATCAGAGGATCCAAAGGGAAAGACATCAACACCATCAAGTCCCTGAGAGTCCTGCGTGTCCTGCGACCTCTCAAGACCATCAAACGGCTGCCTAAGCTCAAGGTTGGAATCTGGAGTCAGGGCTTAAGGAGTGTGGGTGTTATCATGTGTAGGTGGATGCATGCCCATGTATGTGTATTTGTGTGTGTCAATTAGAATTGCCCACCTGTATAAGGGGACAAACTTACTCAACTCAAAGATCCTCCTCCAAGGAGGCTTGTTTCCTGCAATCTTTTGAAGACCTCTCTTCCTTAGTCCAGAGCATTAGATGGGACACTGTGTTTTCTTCTGACAGTTGAAGGACAGGGAAGAACAGGGGACTGTGAAGGGATAGATGCCAGCCATCAAGGACTCTAGAAAGTGGCTGCTGGTCTGGACCCAAGAGCATGAGCATGGGTGGGTTTCCTGGATGAAGGAAGTTCAGTATACACTCGTTCTGTCAGGAACAAAATGATTTCTGTGATTTCACTCTTTTAGTTTTTCAGTCTTTTATGCAGTAGATTTTCATATCAACAGTTTTGAAATTCAAGCCTCAGAGATATTAGTCAAAGAGGATAGTAGGAAAAGGGTTTCTTAGAACCTGGGTATGAAGTGTACATGAGGAAGGGAACTGAGATGGCATCAGAGACTTTCTGAGCCCAGGCAGGACTTGTATCCAAGGCAGCAGGGAAAGAATATTGTATGTGGGCTGCAGTTTCCTTGGCTCAGGCAGCTGCCAGCATTTGGAGTGTGCCAGGCAGCATCTCCAGAGATGGCTGTGGGTCTGCAAGATAGCTCTGAGAGCAGACTGGAGAACTTGAGTCATATCTAGACCATAGAACATATTCAAATTCCCTGTCTTGTGGTTCTTGGGGACACAGCCTGTCTTCTTCAGCTTTAGTCCTCCCCGTATCATTGATGCTGCTGGGTAGGAAGAAGGCAGAAGCAGGGCAGAGGTTTGCAAATTTCCCCTGTTACGGGCCTGGTCCCTTCTGGCTCCTTCCTGTGGCCTAGTTCCAGTAAGGCCAGTTCTCCTGGGCATCCAGCTGCCTGGTCTGGTACCTCCAGCCCACTAGTCTAAACCAAGATGACTTCCTGAGAGAAAAACAGCTGTTATGATAACTGACAGCACTGCCTTCTGTGATCATAGGTCTGAAGGCCTTGAGGGGTCCTTGAATGCCTCTGGGAGTCTAGGCTTTAGAGGTTCTGAGGTTCTGAGCTGGTAACTGCCCCATCCTATTCTTTCTTTTGGTCCCCTCCATACCCTTTCCTGCCTCCACCCATCTCCTACCCTCTCTCCTTGACCCACCCCTCCGTCCATGACCTCTCCCACATGGCCCCTCCCTTATGGTTCCACCCTTCTTTCTTGTCTCTGCTCCCTCCTCCCTGCAGGCTGTGTTTGGCTGTGTGGTGAATTCCTTGAAGGATGTCTTGAACATCCTGATCGTCTACATGCTCTTCATGTTCATATTTGCCGTCATTGCAGTGCAGCTCTTCAAAGGAAAGTTTTTTTGCAGCACTGATGAATCCAAGGAGCTGGAAAGGGACTGCAGGTAAACTGAGGCAGGGTGGAGAGGACATAGCCCCAAGACGCAGAGAAAACTTGGTCTTCAATTAGGACCCAGAGCAGCTGGTCACATGACTTGGGAGTCTCCTTTGCAAAGCATAAACATTGTATGAAGCTAGGCAGCCTGCTTAAGATGTGGTGGAGAGGGGAGTGTGCCACCTGTCCCCAGAGCAACACCAGGAACCTTTATCAGGAACCCATGCCCTGCACAGAGTCCAATAGACTAGGGGCTCAAATGGAGTTAAAAAGGAAAAGGAGAGAGTCCACCTGTGCAGTCATGCTCCTTCCCTGCTTCCCGGCTGCTCTCACATGCCCCTCCCACTGTGGACTGAAACCCCTGTAACCAAGATCCAGAATAAAACTCCCTCCCTTAGGTAGCTTCAACTTCTATGTATTTGTCACAGCTCTGAAAACCCAATTAACACACCCCTTTTATTCTTTATCTTACTTAGCAAATGTATCCTCAAGGTCAAGAATGTTTTCTTCTGAAAATTCTGTTTGTGCTTTTCACATTAGATTTGCAAACTATCGGAGTTGATTTTTGTGCTGTGTGGAGGTATAGGCCAAAGGGATTTTTTTTTCAGTCTTTTTGAGACAGGGTCTCCCTGTAGCCCCAGCTGGCCTGGATTCACTATGGCGACCAGGCTGGCCTTGAACTCACAGAGATCCGCCCGCCTCTGCCTCTGCTGGGATTAAAGTTGTGCACCACCACACCCGGCTTGAAGGAAAATTTTATGAGTGGATAGCCAGTTGATCCAAGATCATTTATTGGATAACGTCATCCTTTCCCCACTGCAATGGTATTCTTTCTTTCTTTTTTTTTTTTAATATTTCCTTCACTATTTTTACATTATGTGCATGCGTGTATTGCCTGCATGTAGGTAAATGTACCCATGTCGTGCAATGCCCGTAGAGGACAGAAGAGGCTGTCGGATCCCCTGGGACTGGAGTTACAGACAGTGGGTGCTGGGATCTGAACCCAGGTCTTCTGCAAGAACAACCTGTGTTCTTAACTGCTGCGCCATCTCTCCAGTCCCGAATATTTGCTTTAAAAAAATGCCTTTTTGAGATAGAATTCACATACCATACTACTTATTCATATCTTCCATGTAGGGTGTACAATTCAATGGTTTCTAGTATATTCACAGATACATCCGTCCATTACCACAGTTGGTGTTAGGACATTTTTTATCGCCTTAAAACAACAATGAAAAAAATACACAAATCCAAACTAAGCATACACCTTTTAGCCATCTCTTTTGTCATCCCCTTCCCTACGGAAGCACTAATCCATTTTTCTGTCCCAATATATTTTACTTAGCTACATTATTAATAAATGCAATCATGCAACATGTGGTCTTTTGTGACTGACATTAGTATAATGTTGCTAAGGTTCATCCATGTTGCAGTGTCAATGCCTCATTTCTTTTAATGGGTAAATATCAGTTCTGCGATATGCCACATTTATTGATTAATTTGTTGCCCAGTATTTGGGTTGTTTCTACCTTTTGGTTATTATAATAACGCTGCTACCAACATTTTTTGCAAAAGGTTTTGTGGAGACATATTTTGATTTTTCTTTGATATGTATCTAGAGGCAGAACTCTTGGGTGATGTGATAACTGTTTTACTATTTGAAGGGTTACCAGACTGTATCCAAAGTGACGTCATTGTGATGTCACAATTGAGGACTGTGATGTGACAAGGGAATATTGTGAACGCATATTGTAACATTGTGATGATATATTGGAGAAATATAATGGCACTTGGGGAGTTAGATTTGGCAGTTTTTAGCATTGTGGTGTCATTTTGACGCGTTGTGAAGTCAAATTTGAGCATTGTGAAGTCATACTGTAACAATCTAAATGGCATTTTGGAATATTTTGATGTCACATTCGACCATTGTGACTCATATTGGATCATTGTGGTGTCACAATGGAGCATTGTGAAGTCAGAATGTAACAGTGTGATGGCACCTTGGAGCATGGTGGTGTCACAGTTGAGGATTGTGATGTGACAAGGGAATATTGTGAAGGCATATTGTAACATTGTGTTGATATATTGGAGAAATACAATGGTACTTGGGGAGTTAGTGTTGGCAATTTGTAGCATGCTGGAGTCACAGTGAAGCATTGTGAAGTCAAATTTGAACATTGTGAAGTCATACTGTAACACTCTGAATGGCATTTTGGAATATTTTGATGTCACATTGGTGCATTGGGATGTCACATTGGAGCATTGTAATGTCACACTGGGTAATTGTGATGGCACAATGGAACATTATGAAGACATATTGTAAAATTGTGATGGCATATAGAGAAATATAATGACACAGGGGACGAGAGTGTTGGCACATTGGAGCATTGTCATGTCACATTGATTCACTGTGATGTCACAATGGAGTATTGTGATGTCAGATTGTAACAGTGTGATGACACCTTGGAGCATTGTGATGTCACATTTGAGGATTGTGATGTGACAAGAGAACATTGTGAAAGCATATTGTAACATTGTGATGATATATTGGAGAAATATAACGGCACTTGGGGAGTTAGTGTTGACACTTTTAGTATCGTGGTGTCTTTTGAAGCATTGTGTAGTGAAATTTGAAGATTGTGAAGTCATATTGTAAAACTCTGAATAGCATTTTGGAATATTTTGATGTCACATTGGTGCATTGTGATGTCATCTTCCAGCATTGTGAAGTCACGCTGGATAATTGTGATGTCACAATGGAACATTGGGAAGACATATTGTAACATTGTGTTGGCATATAGAGCAATATAATGGCATATGGGGTGAGATTGTTGGCACACTGGTGAATTGCGATGTCACATTGGATCATTGTGACGTCACAATGGAGCATTGGGAAGTCAGATTTTAACAGTGTTATGGCACCATGGAGCATTGTGGTGTCACACTTGAGGATTGTGATGTGAGAAGGGAAAATTGTGAAGCCATATTGGGACATTATGATGATATATTGGAGAAATATAATGGCACTTGGCATTGTGAAGTCAAATTTGAATATTGTGAAGTCATATTGTAACACTCTGAATGACATTTTGGAATATTTTGATGTCACATTGGTGCATTGGGATGTCACATTGGAGCATTGTGATGTTACATTCCTGCATTGTGATGTCACATTGGATCATTCTGTCGTCACAATGGAGCTTTGTTAAGTCAAATCATAACAGCATGTTGGCAGCATCGAGCATTGGGATGTCACATTTGAGGATTTTGATGTGACAAGGGAACATTGGGAAGGCATATTGTAACAATTTGATGATATATTGGAGAAATATAATGGCACCTGGGAGTGAGATTGTCACAGTCTGATGGCACCATGGGGCATTGTGGTGTAACACTTGAGGATTGTGATGTGACAAGGGAATATTATGAAGGCATATTGTAACATTGTGATGATATATTGGAGAAATAAAATGGCACTTGGGGAGTTAGTGTTGACAATTTGTAGTATTGTGCTGTCGTATTGAAGTGTTATTTAGTGAAATTTGAAGATTGTGAAGTCATACTCTAAAACTCTGAATAGCATTTTGGAATATTTTGATGTCACATTGGTGTATTGTGATGTCACATTGGTGCATTGTGAAATTACACTGGATAATTGTGATGTCACAATGGAACATTATGAAGACATATTGTAAAATTATGGTGTCATATATAGCAATATAATGGCATACAGGGCGAGAGTGTTGGCACATTTGAGGATTGTGATGTCACATTGGATCATTGTGACGGCACAATGGAGCATTGTGAAGTCAGATTGTAACAGTGTGATGGCACCAGAGAGCATGGTGTTGTCACAGTTGAGGATTGTGATGTGACAAGGGAATATTGTGAAGGCATATTGTCACATTGTGATGATATCTTGGAGAAATATAATGGCACTTGTGGAGTTAGTGTTGGCAATTTGAAGCATCCTGGAATCATATTGAAGCGTTGTGAAGTCACATTTGAACATTGTGAAGTCATACTTTAAAATTCCCGATTGCATTTTGGAATATTTTGATGTCACATTGGTGCATTAGGATGTACCATTGGAACCATTGGAGCATTATGATATCACACTGGAAAATTGTGATATCACAATGAAACGTTATGAAGACATATTGTAACATTGTGATGGCATATAGAGCAATATATTGACACATGGGTCGAGAGTGTTGGCACATTGGAGCATTGTGACGTCACATTGGATCATTTTGACGTCAAAATGGAGCATTGTGAAGTCAAATTGTAACTGTGTGATGGCACCATGGAGCATGGTGATGTTACAGTTGAGGATTGTGATGTGACAAGGGAATATTGTGGAGGCATATTGTAACATTGTGATGATGCATTGGGGAGTTACTGTTGGCACTTTGTAACATTGTGATGTCATATTGAAGCACTGTGAAGTCAAATTTGAACATTGTGAAGTCATACGGTAACACTGAATGCATTTTGGAATATTTTGATGTCACATTGGTGCATTGTGATGTCACATTGGAGCATTGTGATGTTACATTCGTGCATTGTGATGTCATATTGGATCATTGTGCAATGAAAATAGAGCATTTTGAAGTGAGATTGTAAGTGTGATGGCACCATGGAGCATTGTGGTGTCACACTTGACGATTGTGATTTGACAAGGGAATATTCTGAAGGCATATTGTTACATTGTGATGATATATTGGAGAAATATAAGGGCACTTGGGGGTTAGTGTTGACACTTTGTAGTATTGTGGTGTAGTATTGAAGCATTGTGAAGTTAAATTTGAAAATTTTGAAGTCATTTTAAACATCTGAATAGCAGTTTGGAATATTTGATGTCACATTGGTGCATTGTGATGTCACATTGGAGGATTGTGAAGTCACACTTGATAATTGTGATATCACAATGGATTATTATGAAGACATATTGTAAAATTGTGATGGCATATAGAGCAATATAATGGCATATGGGGCCAGAGTTTTGGC